GAGATGAGACATCAGGATAAGACAAAAACAATTTTAAGCAATGGGATTCATTTCACCTGGAGACTAGCAAAAACCTATAATCAAAAACTGACTCATTCCTGTAAAAGATAAATGCTTGCAGCTTAGATCACTTAAAATAAAGACAAACATAAGCCACCTTCTGCAGTCCTAATGCAGCAGTCTGATGATAGATTGCTGTGTCACTGTGCCACATCATGGAGCCGGTCTTTGAACTAATAGTTTCACAAGTTCAGATGTTATTAAATGTCTCGTGAGAGATTTATAGCATGTGTAGCTTTCTGCTTCTGGCAATGAACTCTTGCACACGTGTGCCTAGAAACACATGCTATGATTTAAAGCAGTCAGACAGATACAAACATTTTGCTACAAAAAGTATATCCAGTACTAATCCAAAAGCACATTACATTTGTGACAAGTGACATTGGTCAATGAATTTTAAACATTTTTTATTGTTGACACAAGCAGCCACAATCTGAGTTAAGTGGGCATTTAAGCCTCTTATGTCATAGCTGAGTTAGCCCACAAAAATAAAGTCCATGAATTTTATGAAGATAGTTATTTCTTCATGAGCCACAGTCGAGAGGCTCATGAAGAAATAAGTGGCAAAGAAATATGTGAGTCTGGGTTGTATCTTAAAGGGGAAGTTTCTCAGCACTTGAGAATGGAGTTACAGATGCAACACAGATACTGTTTCCCTTGTAAATAGTGTTCGTCAAGAGAAATTCTTACAAGTCTTAAAGGCCAAACTGTGCAACCAGTAAAATGTGTTGTTTGTGCCAGGCTTTTCTTTTACTTTAAAGTGTGATTTGTATGTGTTACTCTTTCAGACATACTCATAACTGTGCATTTGTTAGAAGGAGTTACTCATTCAAACTGTTTATTTTCTTGAGCAATACCATTTGAGATAACAATTGGAAGTGACACTTTTATTCATCACTTCCTCAATAATAATTTTTTGTTTTCAATTCCCACATTTCTCAGTCTCAGTCTCTCAGTCACAGACACAGTGTTAACTGCATATATCATCACTGACACCTTTAGATTAGTCATTCCTAAGAAACAGCTACTAGGACATTGTGAATATGGTTCTCTGCGTGTGCCAGTTACTGGAAGAATACTGTGACCAATTTGAGCAAAAGATGCACACAAGCTAAGAAAATGAAATTACATTTGCACAACATTTTCTGTATGGAACCATATAATTATGGTATTATACATCATGTTTTCAACAAATGTGTGGGCTTCAAAGCTTTGTTCACCACGCACATCTGTTAGCTGAACACTCAATCTCAAACTGTTACAGTAATATCTTTATTAAGTCATTAGTGACGTGTTTGAATGCGACATTTAGTTTGAAGTGGTATCACACACACCGCAACATTCTGTTCTGTAAGCTCAGAAGCAATACAAATATCCACACTTGTAAAATATGTGATTTCTGCAGACTAATCGCTCCATATTTTATTGTTAACATATGTATCCTTTGACCCTTCTCAAGGCATGTCTAGCCAATTGGGAACACATTTTGCCATTGTTATTAAAAGTGAAGCTGATGTATAAGTACCTTAAACCTGCATTATTATTCCATGAACAGGTCAAATTAAATAGAAGTACTGTATATGAGAAAATTACCCTATGACTTCTTTTATTTATTCTTTCAGTAAACATTCAACTAATGGTGCTTATGGTCTAAATCGCCAGTTCCAAGTCTTCTTCAATTCAACATTATATTCATTTTATAAATTCTTGTTGTGTTAAAGGTAGGGTAGGTAAGTTTGAGAAACCGGCTCGAGATACACTTTTTGTTATATTCCATGGAATGCTCTTAACATCCTGATAGCAATGAATATCTTAAGTGCTTTGACAAAAAATCCATAAAAAAATGTCATCTGTGGAAGCCGTAGTACTGTAAAAAGTACGACCAATCATTTTAGCCGGCCCGGCTAAAATAACTGGATGGCCTACCTGCCTGTCAGCCTTCCATCTGTGCACAAACTTATCTCGTGCCCTCATTGGTCATGTGCGCGTTCGTGTGTGTTGGAGGAGGGGCTCTATAAGGAAGTGGCAGATTTTCTCCGGTTGTGTATTTTCAAATTCTAGCGATCTCGAGCCGGTTTCTCAAACTTACCTACCCTACCTTTAATGGTAAAAAAAAAAGACGATATGGCAACGTATGCTTGACAAAGGGGCTTATTTGTGATTGAAGGGTCACTCTCACATTGTCCATGTCTTGGTTTTTGTTTTAGAACTTTAACTCTTTCTCAGCTTTTTATCCATGAAACTTAACTGACTAACAATGTGGTCGCCTAAACATGTTCATATTTTGGTTTGATCCACCCTTTCATGGCACTTCTGTTTCCAAGAAAACAAGAGGGCGAAGACCAAAAACCAAGATGGCGGCAGCAAAAATGTCACATTTTAAGCTTCAACAACCTAGTCCACAAACCAATGGTTGACATCATGGTACATACGTCCTATTCTTATTTACTGTCTATAGACTTACTTTGATTGAAATGATAACGTTAAAGCTACAGATAAAATGTATCAAGCAGAGAAACACATGGCGGTGGTGGCGAAGTCCATAGGGACTTGGCTTGGCAACTGGAAGGTCACCAGTTCAAGTCCCGGCAAGACCAAGTGCTACAGAGGTGTCCCTGAGCAAGGCACCGTTCCCTACACTGCTCCCCGGGTGCCGTTCATAATGGCAGCCCACTGCTCCTAACACTAAGATGGGTCAAATGCAGAGAAACCATTTTGTTACATAGTACATGTACTGTGAAAAAAAAAGAAAAGGAAAGGAGGAAGAAATGTGAAGCATATTCTCAGTGATGGTTGAAATCTGCACTGTCACAAGTACATGTTATGTGGCACCATCACACCCCATAATGAGAAATATCATTTGGCAATATTGTTTTCCCTCACTGATGTTTAATTGTTCCTTAACCAAATTGGCTTGTTCCCTTTTTCATTCGGTTTCCCACCACTAATTAGGCATGGGATTTAACTGCCGATGACTTTAGAGCTCGATCAGAACACACCCAGCCATTATAAAAAACCCAGGGACCCATAATGTGGTGTGGGCTTGGCCGCTGTAACCATGGGGTGGAGAGACAGGAGGGGGGGGGGGAGAGCCAGTAACAGTTGTTCTCGGTTGCTCTTTGAATCGTTGGCTGTGTCCTTTCTCGCCTTTGGCCTGTCATAAGAGTTTTCTCTCCCCCCATTTTGCAATTGTTTTCTATTTGTTTCCTTTGACTCCCTGGCTCTTTTTCTCAATGTCTCTCTGTTTCTCTATTGTCTGCCAGTTTCACCTCCTTTACCCTTATCCCCTCTTGCACACTCGCTCTCCCTCCCACACTCCCGCCACAGTAAGACCTAATATGAACTTTTGACAGGAGCTGGGATCTTTGTTTAATTGCCAGTGTTACTGCGAATGCCCTCATAAATCTAATGCTGTAATGCCTTTGAAACGCCTTCTAGGCCTCACAATCACACGCACACAGACGCACACAATCTCTTTCTCACTTTCTCCCACTTTTGCTTCACGCACACTTCAGCACATGCACAATCACACACACAGATGTGACGTGTGAGAACGAGGGCTTTGAGGTTGTTTGTGCTCACATCAGACACAGCAGCTCCAGTGTTTGTTTGCAATTTCCACTGGCTTTGGTCCAGTCCCACCAAACCCATGGGAATTTGTGGATCAGCATCTTCTCAAAAAGCTCCTGGGCGTCAGACTGTATAACTGAACAAAGAAAGAGTGCAATGAGTGCAATGAGGTTGTTATTTTTATGTTGTTTTTTACTATTTGATCCATACCCAGTAGTTTATAGTTGTGTGTGACAGTGGGAAAAAAGGAAAGCAACACAAGTAGTGACATTATTTAGAAGTTAGGCTCTAAATAACCAAATCATACGGAAGAAACATTTACTTTTGAGTGTATAATATTTTGTTACTAGGCGATTTGTTTATTTGTATGTGTCTTTTATATCTAATCATACATTCAAGAACGTTTATATTTCTGTAGGCTCTATTTTTTCCTTTTAAGCAGAATGGTAAATGATTAATTATAACAAGTCAGTATGAATAATCGTGTAGAGACTGATGGAACACATTCAATTGGGCTCATCAAATGTACTTAATAATTGTAATCAACCTGAAAACTAAAAATAACACTTAAACAGGAAGAGATGTATATATATGTACTGCTGTTATAAATATAATCCATGACATTTGAATGTCAAATTTGACATTAGTGTTTTCTGCTGGATTTTGCACACTGTGTCAGTTCATATTTGATAATATTCAGTCTATTGCCTACGGGGACATTTGTAATCAGTGAATGTAGCTACAGTTCATACATTCCTTCTTAGAGAAGTCAGACACCACGTTGGATTGCTCAGTTTTTGTTTTTGCAATGTCCCAGGCAGCATGGTAGAAGTCAAAACTGAAGGCATTTGCACTCTTATCCCAATGCCAGGAAGTATAGCTCAGTGATATTTGTACGCAATACGGTCAAGTTGTGTCGTTATTTTTAAAGTGAATGTTGTCACACAACCAACAATTGCTCAGTGTTCCTAAATAACATACTGATAACTGTTTGCGGGTTTTATATAGGGGCTGTTCATGGGAATCTTCAATCTGCAATGTTAACGAAAGTGAAACATGGTCTGTGTATCAGCTCTGTGATTCACATCCTTTCCCAAATGTTATGGGTTCTTCCTTGGCCCATGTTACACCCTCCCACCAAGTTTAATACAAATCAGACTAGTAGTTACAGTATATACAAATACCTTTATGAAGGATAATACATTCCTAGCATTATGTCTGGGCTGACAGACAAAAAGATCAAAGAAGGTATAAAATTACTTATATGGTACAGGTTTAGTTGGCTCTTGTAACATGTAAGAAGGAATCTGAAGCTGTGCATGTAACCAGAGAATGACACATGTAAACTGAGTTATTGTTTTTTTCCCCAGGTGGGGCAGAGTGAGAGTCAGAGGGAAGATCTTCTGGTCTAGACAGGACTGTCAGGGTAAGTGTTACATTCCTTCTTTGTTGTCTATTACAGTATACAATACCTGTCTGTATTTGCACATCCTTCTTTCTCTCTGCAGCCCTGATTGTTTTATTCTCTTATTGTCTGTGTCTCCATCTCTCTCTGTGTATCTGTGCTCCTACAGCTGATTACATGAATTATTTACAGCACGTAAATCCTCAGCAGCTGCTCACTGTTTGCTGTTTTTCCCCCATTGTTCCTCCTCTCTCTTCTCTCTTTCAGGTTTACATGGGAGGGTTTTTCTCAACCTTGTCACCTTTCCTTTCCTCTCTCTCTCTCTCTCTCTCTCTCTCTTTCACTTCCTGCTTCTGTGCCTGGGGTTAAGCTCTCTCTCTTTCTGTCTCCTCTTATTCTCTGTAATTACACAGCTCTCGGTTGCAGCCCTATGTCTTCCCATGGGTTTGTATGTCCTTATGTAACTGGCTGAATCACATTTATTTTCTATATTCATGGGAATTTTCACTTACAAGTTTACAGTTGTTTGTCTGTGTATATTTGTGTGTGGGTTGTGTGTGTTTGCATATATGGTTGACCTGTACACAGTTACTATATGGTTTCAGATCCTTAAAATGAAGACACTTTTGTGGATTCAAAACTCATTGTGTTTGCTGTTCTTCAGCAGTTGTCACTTATATAAAATTGAGTCAATTTTTGATTTCACACCAGGCTTTAAATGCATTGAATAACGAGCCAGAACTGTGCTGTCAAATTAGTTTTTCTTCTTTTCTTCTTTGGTTCCCTCAATCAAGTCCCTATAGGTTTGAGTCCAAGTATATTTTTTTCATGCACGTGAAGTAATTTCATGTTGAAAAGAAATACAATAATAGTAGTTCCACACAAGAAAATCTATCAAAAAATAGCATGAGGCTAATTCCAGGGTAGAAAAAGAGACACCGAAAGGGAAGCGTTACCTTTGGCTGTGTTAAATCATTTCTTTTCCACCATTCAGTTTCCATTGTTTGAAGCCACAGTCGATCTGTCCAATATTACTGCTAATCTAACTTCAAAGGGCTTCAGTCATGTTAAAGCACTTTTTAATTGTGATAAGGAATATGCTTTCATGCCTAAACCCTTCTCCTCAGTTCGTCTGGACAGAACCCATAAATATTGAGGGCCTTTTTTCATTGGCAATTAAAATTAGAATTGGTCACATATTTCACTGTCAGCCATTTCCCTTGCACACAAAGACATGTGTGGGCCACACACATGGAGAGCCAGACATGTGTGCACGCAGAAACACATGCAGTGTACATAGTGTTTTTGCCCAAGTTAAGGACACTTTGATCAAACATCATTTGATGTTCTTCGGACATTACAAACTCTGAAGAAAAACAATTGCTCAAAGCCTTTTCTAGCTTTTCCACTTTGGTAGGCTGATGATTCACCACAGGTTTCCCTGTTGTCCCTGTGACACATGAGATGCAGGCAGCGCCACACTGTCCAAAGATAACACAATAAGATGAGACTTGAGTGAATCACTTGCATTTGACACGGAAGACTCTTCAAGCTTTGATATGTAGACGATATTTTGAGGGGGTGGAACAGAAAGATGTTATTCTCAAATGACAGTATCAAGTTGGATAACATTTTATTGGACGGAACAAGACCAGAATTAACATTTATGATTTGTTGTAGTGGTTGGGTAAATCGCTATATTTGACCTCAGAATGATTCCTTCAAGGCCATCTTAATATTTCCTGAACAAATGACAGAAATATGAAAAGAAGAAGAAAAATAAACAACTGTTTGCTGCCATATCCACGGTCACATGAAAAGATGGATATCAGTTTCATCAATGCGCTTCCTGTGGGCATATAGTAGATGCGGGATGTGTTTTCCCGACATACGACAGAGACAAGTAAATAGAAATATGAGCCCAGCTCTATAAAAAATGTTAAAAACACATTCTAATAAGTTACACGTAATACACAAGTCATAAAATGTATCTAGGAGACATTTGATTCAGTGTTAATGGCTCCTGAGACTGGAGTATTAACTGCCAACGCATTCATGACCAAGCAATTTTATTTGATTATGTGCATATATTGCAACATAACTTATCTACAACAGTTATGGTATGACAGGTATAAAAAGACCGTTTACACCTTACTTTAAATTCGTATTAAGTTCCTTATGTTTCCACTTATACATTGATTACCGTGTCACAAGTGACATGCTCATAAGGCTAAGAGGTTGGACAGAAACCCTCTCCCCTTTTACAGGCTCATCAATTCAACAGAGAAAAAGTCTCCCAGTGACACGCAGCGTTACTGACACGCCAGTCAGACTGACAGGCCAGTCAGACTGACAGCTCGAGCTTCACTGCAGTAGCTCTCACACTTCAACACAGCACAACTTTACACTGCAGTCAGTCAGGATTTGAGACACGCTGCAAATTGTTCCAACTGAGTTTCCCACTGACAACACTCAGAGTGGGATTTGTTTCTAAGGTTGGAGAATAAACTATTAGTGACGGAGAAGGAACAGAAGAAGCTTGACTTGGGTTCGTTCCCCCTCACCTCAGCTCACTGCAGCGTGCCTTTAACAGTGCAGTCAGGCTGGGTATTGAGTTTTGGCTGACATGGCTGGGTTGGCGCACTGCTTGTTTAGCAGTCTGTCTGAGCCAAGCATGTGCATGTGTGGCTGTCTGTATGTGTGTTTGTGTGTGTTTATGTGCATGCATGTCTGCGCTTGTGTTTGTCTGCAGGATTTCTTTGCATACGCAGATCTGTATGTGCCTGCATGACCTGATTGTATGTCTACAGTATATATCATCATGTGCAGTGAACGAGGGCTATAAACCTTGGTGGGATGTTTTTTTCGGGGTTGCTGTGCAGTGTGGCCTCATTACCCAGGTGTTTACCCCCAACAACAGGAAGCACTTGTCATTGACTGTCTGCCGGCAAACATTGCCTGAGGGAAGAAAAGACAGACAGTCAGGAAGGGAGACAGAGAGAGGTGAAAGAAGCAGGGCTTTTCGTAGAGTGCCTTGTGAGACTATCTATCTACCTATCTAGTAGATAGGTAGATAGTATCTACCTATCTACCTATCTACCTACCTACCTACCTATCTACAGTATCTATCTATCTATCTATCTATCTATCTATCTATCTACCTATCTATCTATCTATCTATCTATCTATCTATCTATCTATCTATCTATCTATCTATCTATCTATCTATCTATCTATCTATCTATCTATCCATCTATCTATTTACAGCACATCCTGTGTCTGTCTTTTTCCGAAATGTGTGTTTATGTGTGGCTGTGCCAGTCAAACCCTAGCTGGCAGGTCAATGGGTTCCTCCATTCCTTCACCAGAGGAGGCAGAGAGGGAGGGAGAGAGGGAGGGAGAGAGGGAGGGAGAGAGGGAGGGAGAGAGGGAGGGAGGAGAGAGAGAGAGAAGCGCAGAGGAGACATACAAGCTGTTGACAGGGATTTATGAGCTGATAGTGTCAGACTGCAAGCACAACAACAGTCTCCCTGTCTCTGCCTGTCTGCTCATAGAGAGAGACAGAGACTGACAGAAAGAATGGAAAGGGGAGGAGCGAGGTGCAAGAGAGTGAGGCAGCAAAATGTGTCGAATAAAGCAAGGAAGAACGAGAAGAATCAGGATTGGGGTTTCATTTAATTTGTTTCTGGTGGATTTTCCTTTAAATTTTCCTTCCTTAATTTCCTCTTTTCATTCCTCTAACTTCAATATCCCTTCAAGAGCTGACTTGTTGTCATGTTGATTGGTGACTGTGTTTGTTTTTGCTCATTTAGACTCATGAGAGTTAGAAACCATGTGTTCACTTTTTCAATATAAAGTCTATTGTTGTCTTCACTCACTGCAGAGATATTGACGAGAAGTTTGAAAATATGACCATGCATGTTGTGTATTCTGGATAGTATATTATCTTGCAACATATTTTTGCCTCACAATTTCAAAAAAGCGGAGAACTGTTGTTAAGTTTTAATGTCAGGAATAACAAGTTATTCAAAACGTTCAGCATTAAAGACATACATTTTTATGGCTGCTTGTGTGTGTGAGTGTTCAATTTAGTCGTGGTGAGTCACGACTGCAGTGTTCACTGTTGGATGACACATACTGTTGGGCTGTCTGACATACAGTATGAGAGACACAGTCTGGTGGGTCATTTTGTCTAATTTGCTGTCTTAAGCAATAATCCAAAATATCTGACTCTGAGGTTTGATGAGTCCAACAATATGTATTTGTTCCCTTCCTATTTACCATTGGTTCCTTCTTAGATAAGGTTATGTTTTTTATATAGCGGGGTTTTCCTCACCACACTTATTCAGACGGCTGTTACAAGTACATTTAGCTTACACTGAAACTAAGAAATGTGTGAAAAAGTCTGTAATATTCATGTTTCTAAGTTATTAGTTATTTGTATTACAGTTTTCATTGTAAATGTAGGTGAGACACAAATGTCTATCCAACTGTTGTGTTGTTCATTGTATATTCTCAAGTCTAAAAACATGCTGTACATATAGACATCCTTCCTCTCTGACACAACACCAGCATTTAACTTTGGATATTTAAAATACACTAACATGTTAGGGTTGTGATAATAACAGTGATACAGATGTGAAGACTTCCAGTCTGACTTGTTGGGAGACAGACAGCCTGACAGTGCAAAGAACACATACCCCCTGGGGATAATATACACTGTAAGTGATTTATATGTCAGTTCTAGTTCAATAATATAGTATTAAAGAGTTGTGATTTATGAGCCTTTTTTTTCATTTCGCATAGACACTGAGATTCAAGACTCATGGTTTAGCTTTTACCCTGCTGAGTAATGATTCCCATGTTGGGTTTCCCAGAATAGCAACTTCATTTTCTTCCAGAACTCCTGTATAAAGATAATGGTCTTCAGCGCAGATGCAATGCAAGTTAATGTTGGCTGCAGATTGCCTACAGGGAAATGTGGTCCTCTGGTTAAGGCTTTCATGCAAAGAGCAACAGTGCAGTTGGTTAAGGATAGGTAGGCTAGGATGAGTGTTTTCTTGGTCAGCACAAATCACTTTGTTCACATGGGGTAAAAAAGAGTAGAACAACCTCAAGGGCAGTGGTTCTCAACTGGTGGGTCGCGGACCAGTTTCGAGTGGGTCGCAGATGTGTGAGTGAAGATATTTTTTTTCCTTTTTTTTTGTGGAAAAAAAGTCAAACTTTTATTTTGAAGGCCCGATTTTCTAACGCTGTACATGCAGTAGGCGTTGGACTGGAAGTACCGTAGACCATAAACGGTTTTGAAAACTTCTGTCACGTAGTGATCATCTTCTCAATAAAACATCTTTGCTGATGTTTTTTCGAGTCTTCTGGCCAATCAGAATCAAGATTGTTTCCGGAAGTCCCCACGGAGAATAACTTTGAGGTAGAACTATTCTTTACTGTATACATCCATGGGTACAACTTCAGATACAAATGAAGACATAATTAAATATGACCCCTGGTTTGATGATTGACAGGTCACAGAACAATGGGGGCTATCTACCCTTACCCACAATTTAAAGTAATTCACACAGACTCTCTCCTCTTTACTCTTCTCTCTGTGTGGAGCAGCAAGCTGTCAGAACAAAGTGAAAAACAAACAATGGCATAAAATATTATTAATATGTCAGGTAGAAATAGATTTATTTATTTTCTCAGAGTGTACCATAATGCGTAGTTTATATGTTAGTATTTCTAAAAATCTCGTAGGGGAGAATCCCCCAAGACCCCCCTTCTGAGGTTGGGTTTTCAGCATGTGTGCCTTTTTATAATACAGTTCAGCTTTGATTCCATCATCTCATTAAACCTTTTTTAAAGAATACTTTAGTTCTGTGAAGGGATATAAGGGATATATGCACTGTACTTCACTTTAATGAATATTGTATGCTGAAAAGCGTATATATATTACAGCACAATTTTTTGTTGAATAGATCTGAGTGGTTCAAAATTTCGGGTCGCGATTTATTGACAAAGGAAAAAGTGGGTCCCGAGGCCTGACCAGTTGAGAACCACTGCTCTAGGGACCGCAAGAGTGTTAGACTCTGTTTTTACTTTTACTTAATCATTTTCGTCTTGTATTACATCATATGAAAGACATACAGTCCATATGTCTTTATTCTTACATACAGTATTCTAATGCCGACTGCCAGTGAATCATGTGTCTAAGACATTGGCTAATGAAAACACATCAGTAAATATAAATACATCTGTGGGGATCTTGTGTAACAAATACACATGCTTCATCAGCACTGAAATGCTGAAAATATGTCACTGAAAGATTACAGTTGCAATTCTACAGTTGTTTACTTATGAATTTACATGCATTTATCTTTGTTTCTGTCTACTCCTTCTCTCTCTAGGTGAGTGTGTATTGCAGATCTGCAGAAAAACGTTCATACAAATGAAGACGTTTATGAAGATAAAGAGGAAAACAGCTGAATGGAGAAATATCTCTTAAGTTATGAATATTCGTCACACAACTTCAAATTGTTTGCCAACATCCATTATAACTCCTTTACCTGCATTTAAGGTTTTTAACTTTAAGTAATTGAGCAAAGATCTTGTGGCTCTCAGGAGTTACTTTTTAGAGGAAATCCCTAGCTGTAAATAAATTAGGAAATCAGTATGGATTATGTTATTTTGTATGTGTTTTGAGAATTATGAGTTTGTTTGCTCATTAAATAAAACATGTTTATTAGTTGCATGTTCATAACCACAATGTGTGTCACTATTGTAATGTGAATAATTGAAAAGCCAATTATTGATAATCCTCCCTGATAGAAATTCATTTTCTTTCGCTCTTCCACAATACTGTAATAGCTACTTTTTCAGCATAGCTTTGTACTAATGGTTTTCATGTAGTACATGTGAGAGAACATGTGGTCAGAACAATGTATAGGCATCTAAGGATTCACAGAGCTACACAGTTTTGAAAACCCTAGTGTCTGGTACAATAACATATTTATGTTTCTGCACTGTATCTGTTAAGAAGTAATGATCCCGATTTGGTCTCAGGAGAACAAAGACAACGTTAAGGACATGTGCTCATGCAATATGTAAAGCTCTTCGGAGAAATACTCCCCGACTGTACTGCTCTCCTGTGACGGTATATATGTACAGCGTTTCCCTTTTTATCATCAAGTAGAATATGAATGAATATTGTATTGTTCCGCAAAACATTGAGGTAATAAAATGTTGAATAAAGAATTGTAATGGTTACTGCAGAGTTATGACAACATGGGACTACACTTGTTAGATTAGTATATACATAGAGTGTGTGTGTGTGGAGAAGCCTCCTCCATTGCAACATCTTCCACACCCATGTTTAAAAGCCTTTTAAGTAGCTAAGAGTTCAGTGGTTTGCTGCAGGGTGCTGTGGTTATAGTGGTGAATTCAGATGTAAAATGAACATTGTGTCATAGATACAATGGTGTTTTAAATTACAAAGTAAGTGCATTCTTAAGCCTGTTTTCACAATATGTTTGTGGTTCACTTACAGTACATGTCCAGATTGACCTGCAATGATAGAAACCTCCTTTCAACAGTAATAACAGATGTTCCTTTTGTACCTCACCATCTACAATTATGTGGTTTCCTTTTTAGACTACAGTCCACACAGAACTTATTTATTTATTTGCTTTTATAGAACATAACGCATTTTTAAGACTAAACTCAAATTGTAGCACTTATTGAGCCGATGTTCACTTACATCAGCAAATTATGATGTTTGTTACTTATTTTGGAGTATTTGGTGAAGCCTAGAGGTCGTGATTGTTTTGTTGACTTGACAAACGCAAAAAAACACAGAAAAAGTCTCTATACTGTAGCTACACACACAACTCTATGGGAATAGGCATGATTTGAAGATGCTTTTGAGCTAAATGCTAATATCAGCATGCTAACAGAGTGACAATGACCTTAATAAAATGATAATATTATCCACGTTTACCATATTAGCATAGCATGTTAGCATGCTAAAACTAGCACTGAACGCAAAGTACAGCTGAGGCTGATTTGAATGGCATTGGTTGGGTCATGTTTGTACCAAATTACATAGCAATAAATCCAACTGTTAAAAAAAAAACAGGAATGTCAAGCAATATAGGCAATACAGAAATGTTCAGGGCATATCCAAAATCATTAAAATGCATCAACTTGAAACCATGAATATCTGTGTAAATTTTCCTGCCAATTCATGTTGAACATGTTAAGCTATTTCACAGGATAAGGGAAATCTTTGACCTGCTGGTGGCTCTTCTGGAGATGAAATGTCAGGGGATAATCAACGTCACTGAAGGCTCCATCCTTTGGAAATATACTCAAAAGGTCATGGTAATCTATTTGATGGTTCAGTCTGAACCAAAGTGGCTTCTTGTTTGGCTAGTAAACAATATGTGTTTTATACCACTCCTATGCAATAGGTCACATTATAATACTTTTCTTTTAATAAAGCGCAAAATATAGATAATCCAGAATACCAGAGCTGGGTAGGCCCTACACCCTTTGAGTCAACAGTTTTGGAGCCTCCATATCTGTTTCCCTCCATCTCTGTCTGTGGTTACTAACCCCAGCTATAGTGGTCAGACATGGGCCCCCTATGTTTTCCATGGACAGTTTATCACACTTCCGTTCCCTCTGCTCTGGGTCTCCAGTTAGTCTGCCAGACAGGAAAATCAAAGACTTGGGGACATACCATTACAGTGCAAATGGTATATTGCAATGTAAAGCATGCTGATGATATATACCATTAAGGTCTTAGTAGTAAACACTAAACAGGAAGGAGGCCTTAGCTGAGTTTCCATTAACATCCCTCACAAGTGAACATAAATGTCTGAATCACACATTGGATTGAGTGAAAGTAAAAAAAGAGCCTATACATATTAGATGGTATGGAATTGAATGAAAAGTAAAAAAAAGCATCCTCTTGTATGTTTAGGTTATTTCATTGAGACTGTGTGGAGTTGGACGCTATTAAATAAAGTGTTGAATACATCATTTATTATTCAGTTAGTTTTACTTTCATAATGTTGTATGGATTTCAGTAGCAGGTAAAGGGATTTTATTATTTTCTAGGGCAGTTTGTCATTCTCTCTGTCAGTCTTGCCTGGCTTCACAGTTATTCTATCCAACAGTGTGAAACAGATTTCCTAAGAGGGAACAGAGCATAACACCTCTGCCTTCAACTCTGTCCAACATTCTCCTTATTCCTGCAAGCACGCTGCTATCTGGATCATGAATTGTGCTTGAAACATAGAAGCAGCTTTAATAAAAAAAGGAACATCTCTTCTTGTATATGAAGAGAGTAGACATGTATACATAGCATGTGAGCTGTAATGTGAACATAGACCTAGTTGTAAATAAGACCTCTGGGGTTTCCTGCTTGTGACTTATTAATGATATTTAGTTAGGAAGTACATGTGGAATACTCAGTTCCACTGAAGTAGTAAACACATGCATGGCATACAGTATTTAATAACAAACTTACTTAAAGTAGGACAAACTATAAGTTATAGAATAGTCTAATGCATTATGTTTTCTACAACCTTTGTTCTGGAGAGGAAAACATAACTCCATGTCTTCTAAGGACACACACAGATGCTCTGTTTTTAAACTTAATAGGTGATTTTGTTTTTTAACAAATGCCCACATCTGTCCACCACTGTTTCCCTAGCTTTTTTCCAACCTCTTTGCTGCATACAACTACATACAACAATAGGGTAATTTCAAGTAATGACGGGGCCTCTCAAGCCATTAGACAGTGCAAGCAGAAAAAGGCTTTCTGGTGCCTATTTTTCTACTTTCTGGAGGAAGTTGTTTGATTAATTACTTTAATTCTTACACTCTTCAAATAACCCCAAAATGCACTTACTTTCAAGTTAAAATACCACCGGTTCTTCCCTTGAAAGATGTGTTCAATGCCTGTTTTTAAAGTTAAATAAAAACTCCCATTTCAACAAGCAAATATGTTACCTGAACTGCTTGTCCTATACTGAGGCTCAGACACATAAGGCGCTTTCACACCGCAGTACTTTTACCCGTACTTTTCCCGTTTAGTTCCGATAGTGCCTGGAATTTTGCGTTCACACCCAAAAGAGAACTTAGTTCAGAGAACTTTTACCCCCATTTTTAGTGCCTGCTAGAGAGGTGGTACTAGCCTGGGGAGAAAAAAGTACCAAGTTCTGATTGGCTGGGCGAATTGCAAACCACGCCCTGTAAAACTCTGAAAGGTTTTGTGAAGCCGCCATTGTATTTCCTGGCATTAGCATTATTAGCATTAGCTCCGCGCACCAACGGAGAGAGAATAACTTATGGCAACACAACAAAAAACATGGGAGCGTTGGAGATGAGGAGGTGTCGGCGTTCTGGCGATTTACTCGGAAGGCTTCAGTAGAAGCTGCTGGGAGTCCCAGCAGCTTCTACTGAAGCCAGCCCCCAACTCCGGGGACTTCCGGCCGGGGACTTCGGGTGGCAGTATACGCCGTGAAGTTGTTTGCGGCCTGCCAGTAAACCCAAAGCAGAAGAAGAAGAAGTGGCGTCAGCGGCTTCATTTGCGTAATCTTCCCTCAGGGAACTTATTCCGGTGTGAACGCGATCTGTACTTAGTTCCATGGGAGTACTAAGTGCTGGGCACTAAGTGCTGAGCACTAAGTACGGCAAAGTACTTGGTGTGAAAGTGGCTATAGTGAAAACCAAGAATAAAAAATGGCACGTTTCATGGAACAATTAAGAAAGAATTATGATGATAATGCTGCATATTGGTTTATGACACGTGGTAACTATCTCTTTAATCGATTGGCTTAATTTGGAATTACGCTGTGAAATACACAGGCTACCGTACACTTATAAGCTTCCATGACAGCAATGGCTCCGATTGAGTTTTTTCTCCTTCAGCATGTGCCTCAGCCAGGAGGTGCATAAGCCTGCCAGCCGTTAACCCCACAGAGGAAGTGTGCAGGAAATGAGATCAGCCTTAAAGAGAGGTAACGCCTGAGCCACTGACACCAGACCAATAACTGTCACTCACTGCACCTGATACTGAGATACTAAACATGCAGTGAAAAACAGGAAGGTCAGATTAGAAAGGAATAGGACAGATGCATTTGAAACAAAAGGGGCACTAAGGAGAAGAGCATAGAAAAGCAGGATGGGATATAATACTCAAATAAAAGGAATTAGAAAAGGTACAGACAGATACAAATAGAGCAGATAACACAACAGAATCAAACAGAGGATGGCAGAAAAGTGACACAAGAAAGAAGAAAATTCAGCACAACTTTTACCATCACTCTCTCTCAAAGTGAAATCTGTTGTGAAAACTGTTAAAAGATTAAAGAATATCTGTGAAGGGGTGGAGGTTACACTTTGGCACTGTATATTTAACTACAGTATTGGGTTTTCATGTATGCTGCTATAGAATAGATAGATAATGGCAAAAACAAACAATGTACACCAAATTACTACAGCAAACACCAGACGAAAACAAGCCAGAACTTTCCAGTATAAAGAGCGTAAAGAAGATAAAAGAACAGCACCACCTAAAGTAACTATCAGACAAATTCTGTTTGAAAACAGATTTTTCAAAAGCTAAAAATACCAGCAGGATCGGGCCTCATTCAGTGGCTGTGTTTGTGAAACTGTCACTATGCCCTGCACACATTCTCTTTGCCATGATGAAAGACATAGTCTCTAACTTCAGGGGAAAAAAACAGGCCTGACAGTCACGTGTGTGTGTGTGTGTGTGTGTGTGTGTGTGTGTGTGTGTGTGTGTGTGTGTGTGTGTGTGTGTGTGTGTGTGTGTGTGTGTGTGTGTGTGTGTGTGTGTTGTGCATATGTATACGTGTATCTCAACTGGCACACAAACGGCAGATTTTTTTCTTTCTCTAAGATTGAAAAAGAAAACATGTTTTCTTTTTTTTTCATTTATTGAGACAGTTGGCAGGAAGAATGATGAAACATTTACAGAGCCAGCTATCACCTACACCCAAGAACAAGAGCCGTTTGATAAAATACATACTGTAGACACAAACAAAACACTTGTTTTTTTAGGCACAATACATGACTCCGCTAGGCAGAAAACTTGCTCGTTATTTTGGGTTTATGTTTAATTTGATACGACTGATTTGTGTTGGTATAAACTCCTAAATAAATAATGCTGGATTTCTCAGAATATATGGATTTAGGCTGCTGAAGTCCACTGACACTGCTCCACCAAGAAAATA